AGGGAAAGAGCAGTGCATATTTTGACCAGATTTAGATTCCGTCAGTCGCATACTAATGTTGCCTTTCGTTGCTTTCATTTCCTTTCCTCCCGTCCGTGGGTTTGTTTGAAAAGTTGTGTCCTTCAAATGAAGATTATGGAACTTTGTTAATGTTTTGGTGATATTTGCTAAGAGTTTTAGGAAAGATCTTGACTTAACTTGTTGGCTGTCTTGTTTTACGGTACAAAGGGCGTGTCAAAGTCTTGCATGAATCTTGCTGGCCGAAAGTTTCATGGGTTTGCAAGGACCGTGGAATGAAAATTGCAGCAAGAAACATAGGAATGATGTTGAGCTTGCTAGTTTTCCCATCTCCCCTTGATTTGCATGTCTAGGCTAATGTTTTATGATGGTTTTGGAATCTAATGTAAGCTCCCTGAATAGCTAATGAAGTTGTAAAATCATAGAGAAATGAGCAGAGTTGTTGCTACACTTTTGTTTTGCTGTTATATAACTCTTGCCGCCCTTTGTGTTGTTAGCGGTCACCAATTCAGATTTTTCTGATTTGATCTTGCAATGAAAGTGTGTCATTTGGCTTGGTTGATGATTGGGGGAATGTCTTATGATCATTTGATTCAAAAGTTGATGTTTTGTTGGTAATGTTTTGGTAATAAAGCACAGCAGGTTGCAGAGAGTAGCAATGAAAAGTGTAGAAGATGCCCAGCTTTGCTTTTTCTTTATTTGGGATCCTTTGACAGATTTACTGCTTTAACCCTGCAACCAGATATAGTATTTGGTTTAATTTATGAGTGAGACTTGCAACGTTTGTTTTTTACCCAAGCCAAAATTCTGATATTTGGCCTGTGTTGATGAAATGATAAGAGAGTTATAGCAGTTTTTGTTCTTCCTTTTCTGCATTTTTTCCAAAATTTTCATATGATATCTTTCCAAGTTTCTGGTCATTTGGATTGTGATCATCATGTAGTTTTGTTGCTTAGTTTAAAGTTGTGATGTTGAGATGAAGAATATCTAATCAAAGCTGTGCATTTGAATCAAAAATCTGGCCTCCATGATGAAAATGGAAAGAAAAGCCGTGGCTGGAAAATTGCTGCAAGTGTCATCCTTTCTTTTGCTGCATTTCTATCCAATCATTTTGGTTTAGAGTGCTTGTTAACTACATGGGTTAAGAGCTAGTATTTGAGTTGGGAGGGTAAAATCGATAGGCTTTATTTGCATGAGTATACTTCAGCTGAAGGAGAAATATTGTAGAGAGAATGGTGGCTGGAATTTGCAGAATGCATGAGCTTCTTTGTGTCTTTTTGCATGAGTTTCCTTCTGTGTTTTGCTTGTTTAGATGTTAAAGTTCTATACTCGGCTGTTTAGTTTAGAGTTTTGATGTTTGGTGGGTAAAGTTTAGATCAAAATTGTGCATGTGGATTGAAATTTGCGTTTGGAAGTTGAAATTGCAGCAAGCATTCCTTTCTGTTGCCTTCCTCGTAGCATTTGTATGAAACTCTTTCAATAATTTCACTTTGACCCCTTGGCTTCCAACCAATGCTGCTATGGCCCAATCATATTCTAATTTCTTGCAAGTAGGTCCTAGAATAATTGTGTTTTGAACCATTACTTTACCTTATTCTTACTCTTGGACCTTTGAAGTTCCTCAAATGTTTTAATTAGGTTTGAGTACTTGATTAATGTTTGCAATTGGGTCCTTGGTAGTTCTCTATTTTAGACGTTGGATCAATAATCTTGCTTTCTTGGAAATGATGCATTATTTGGTTTCATTTGAGTCGCAATTAGGGAAGAATTTGGTGGTTTGTTAGTACCCCTTTTGAAATTTCTAAGGTGTTCTGAGTTTCCTTTTTGCCTTTTATTCTACTTATCTTTAAAGTGGTGCATTAATCCCTTGCTTTGATGGTTTTAGCCCAAGTTATCTCTTTCTTTGGTGACTCTAGCCCAAGTTAAGTCTTGTTCACTTTACTAACATCACAAACGGGGAGGTATAACTTCTTTTATCCTTTTTTGTCTCTCCTCTATGTGATCCAACGTGCTAAGTGAGAATTGCATGTCTACTTTGCTTTCCTTGTCTTCCTTAATTCCTTTCATTTATTTCATTTACTTTGGCTTTTATTAAGTTATTCTTTTATGGGGTATGTGTACACCTCTTGGCTTGTAATAGATAGGGCTTGGAGAGCATTTTTATTCATTTTTTCCTTTCCTCATTTGTTTTAGTTAGCCAATGTAATAGGTTCATTAGCTTGGTTGCTTGTTTTGTTGCTACGTGTTAATTTGTTTTATTAGGCTCTTGCATTTAATCGAGCATGTTAAGTGTAATGTGCTACGTGTTTATAGGTGATTGGCATGTCTACTTGTTTTCTATAATCATAGATGAATATGATGGATGAATGCACGTCACCACACTAGTCCAACGCTAGTTGTGGCTCATTGTCCCGTTTTCCACTAGTCCAACGCTGGTAGGAATTCATAGATATGGGCTAGTCCAACGCTAGACCCTTAGGGATCTCTCTCGTTAGTACATACTTGCATGTCTCACTACATTTCATGCATTTTTCTTAGTTTTTTTAGCATTTGGCATGCCCCTCCAGCCCCTTCCCTTTCATTTTAGGTTTTTGCATCGTCATACTAGTTATAGGGTACATTTGCTTGAGAGTCCCCTTTCGGTAAGGGAAACGAGCGAGTGTGGCTACAAAATAACCTTAGCACGCTAGTCCTTCCTTCTAATCAAAGGGAAAATTAAAGTCATGAAGTTAGGAGTCATTCCCGTACCCGACTTGATGCATTCCTCTAGGTTCATACACTCTCATTTTTATCATATCACTTCCTCACTTTCTCCACATTCTCTCACTACTTATATATATATTTTTTTCAATCCACATGCCATGTTTGCACATTCTTTTCTTTCCCTATCACTTATTTATTTTCTACCTCACAAAATTGCACCCAGTTGCACTTATATGCATTTACTACTATTATACCATATTTTCATCCACTTGCACACAAACACCTTTATTTTTTCAATTGGCACACATGCACTTTTCTTACATTTGCACACTTGCACTTACATTTGTATTTTTATTTTATTTTATTTTGCATTCTTTTTACATTTTCACACTTGCACTCATATTTGGGTCTTCATTTGCATTACCCGTGACCTCTATGAGAGTTTTTCTTATTGGCCATCACAACTCATGTGGTTGGGACCAAAAAGCCTCATAAGAGATATTTTAGATTTAGGATTGCATTTTTTTCATATCCATTAGTCACATCCAACATACAACACATATTTTGGATAGAAGAAATAGGAAAAGTGGGGCTAAATCACGCAACTAGCTTTGGCTAGGGTAAGGGAGTGCCTTAGGCTTTGCCTTTGCCTTCTCCCTTATCAAATGTGACCCCCGATCCCTTTCTTTGGTTATGTAGACCTAAAAATTCTTTAAAAAGGGTTTGTTTACTTTTCTTTTCCAAAAAATCACTTTTTGGGTGACTTGGTACACCCTAACTCTATACCAAGTGGCGACTCCTTTTCTACCTAAAACCCTTTGTTTGGCCAAACCGTCGCATTTCACAATCCCACGGCCTTTTTATTTTCACTTTCACACACGTTCACATACATATCCCACACACTACTTTCACACCTCAAAAAAGTGGGGCGCGACACCTGGGATTGATGACCCTTCGCCTTTTGGTCTGAAGGATTGGGAACCTGAAGTCTCATCGAGTCTAGATGCATTAGTAAGCCAAACCTCATGCATTCATATTAGAAATACCTTAGGATAGAGTCAACCTTACCCAACTAGGAACATTAGGCATGTATGAAGGGATTCCACCCCTCTTTTCTTATTTTTCCTATTGCTTTTTGTATCATTTAATTGCTATAACGTGTTATGTATTAAACTAACATTTCCTTGTTTTCTTGCCTTTTGCATCCACAAACACTAGAAAATAAGAGTTCTGGCATGATACTCTTTTAGAACCAACCCTCTTAGATAGGTTATTGCACGTTTAAATTCCAATAAATTGCATTTGTAGGTTGATAAGTGCACATCATTTTAAGCCCACCCTGGCATATAAAGGGTTTCTTAGGTCATGTTTCATTCCAAATTATGTATTTAATTACTTTGATAAATTGGCATCATGCATAAACCTTAGAGGAAATGTCACTTAGGGAATCCCGTGTTAAGAATAAGCTATCTTGTGTCTCGGATACATAATCCAATAAAATTTGTATGTTTATATTTCTTGTAACATCCAAAGAGGTAGTGCACAAGGTAAAGTAGGATCTGATCTTTCCCATGATAATCGAGCAACTTTTGCACATTGGAATATGGGCATCTAACAATCATCTTTTGGCTGGCAAAGTCTACACAAGAATGCCGACTCACACGGTCAGCCATGACTACGTCAAAAGATATTCATCTACCATTGCAAAAATGAAAAACCTTTCTCTAAGCGATCAGCGTAATTTTTACCAACAAGCAAACGTCCATTGCGTGTATTGTGACGAAGGGTACTCTCAATCAGGCTTTCCAGACAAAAAATTGGACGTTCATAACTCATGGCTATTTTTTCCGTGGCACAGATGGTTCCTTTATTTCTTTGAAAGAATTTGTAAAAACTTGCTCGATGATGACACATTTACTTTGCCATTTTGGCAATGGGACGATTCTTCAGGCATGCAAATTCCACCCATGTTTAACGACAGCAAATTTTCCTTATACGATTGCTTGCGCAACCCAAAACACTTGCCTCCTAAAGTGGTGGATTTAGCTTACAATTACAAAGGCACCGATTCGGGCATCGACTCCAAGACTCAAATCCAGTACAATTGTTGCACAATGTACACTCAAATGATCACTCACTCGTCCACGGCTCCATTTTTCTTCGGATAGCCACTGTTGGGGGGTGGTGATCTCGATCCAGGAGCTGGTTCCATAGAAACTGAACCCCACAATAATGTGCACGATTGGGTTGGCGACCTTTTCCAGCCTAACAACGAGGACATGGGCGTCTTATATGCAGCCGACCGAGACCTTATATTCTATGTTCACCATGCCAACGTTGATAGAATGTGGTACATTTATGACAATGTTTTGAAACGCAAAAATATTGAAGACCCAGATTGGTTAAGGTTAAATTCCTCTTTTATTTTCTTGAACGAGACGACGAGACCCATTAGAGTGACGGTTAAAGATTCCACAAATCTGGCCAAGCTTGGATATACCTATCCTGACTTGCCACTTTCTTGGTTAGATTGTAAGCCAAAAGCGGATAGAAAGGGCCTGAACCTGACAAAGGTGTCCGTACCTAAGGCTAGTGAAGTGCTGCCAATAAAATTAGAGAAACCCATTAGCTTCGTGGTTGAGCAGCCTAAGAAGTCAAGGGGTGGACAAGAGAAAGCAGAGGCAGAAGAGGTGCTGAAGATTAAGGGAATCGAATTTGATAAAGGAGAAACTGTGGTGTTCGATGTGTTTGTGAACGAAGACCATACGAGTAAGTGTAATCCGTGCAAGGCTAAGTCTCTAGGAAGCTTCCACATCTTGGCCCATGGACATGGCAAGAAATCTACCACTTCCCGTAGTTTTACGATTTCAGGGGTGTTGGAGGAATTGGAAGCTGATGATTTTGACAGCATTTTGGTCACTTTGGTCCCCAGAAGAGGTGTTGTGACCATAGGTGGTATCGAAATTACCTTTGTTCCTAAACCTTAAATGCATTAATAGCATTGCAAATACTACGTGTACAATGTTGTGTGTTTGTGTAATATAGTAATCAATCGTAAGTACTACAAACTTTGAGAAGATGTTTTACTAAATAATTTCAACAACGATAACTGGTGTCCTCGTAAACTTTTCAATAGACCTTTACGATTGGCTTTCAATCGGGCTTCTAAATTCATCATTCCAAACTCTATCAAGGTCTAGGTTAAAGTTAGGCAATTCCCCTTTCTTCACTTGTTCCACCCACTTTTGCACCATTGGATCTTTCACTTGGCCCTCTTTGATCCGATCCAACAGAGCCGACTTCACCTCAATATTTCCAAAAATCACCTTCTTCGGTTCCAGACGAGGTTTCCATTCACATACATCTTCTAACAAGCTCCACTCTCCCACCATGGAACTCGCTAATTAAGCCTTTCGACTTAAAGCATCTGCTACAACGTTGGCCTTTCCAGGATGGTAGTTAATTGTACAATCATAATCTTCTAAGAACTCTATCCACTGACGTTGTCTTAGATTTAGCTCCTTCTGTGAAAACAGATACTTAAGGCTCTTATGATCCGTATAAATCTCGAAAGTTACACCATAGAGACAATGTCGCCATTTCTTCAAAGCAAACACAACAGTTGCAAGATCCAAGTCATGGGTTGGATAGTTCTGTTCGTGAGGTTTTAACTTCCGAGATGCATAGGCAATCACATTTCTATTTTGCATCAACACGCACCCTAACCCCCCTTTCGAAGCATCGGTATAAACCGTGTAGCTATCGTTTCCACTAGGCAAAGCTAAAACTGGAGCTATAGTCAATCGCTTCCTAAGCTCTTGGAAACTACTCTCGCACTTAACATCCCAAATATACTTTCCTTGTTTCTTGGTCAAGTTAGTCAAGGGTCCCGCAATTTTCGAGAAATTCTTTATAAATTGGCGGTAGTACCCTGCGAGACCTAGAAAACTTTGCACCTCTGTGGGATTTTCTGGCCGCTTCCATTTAGCTACAGCTTCCACTTTCGTCGGGTCTACAGCAAGCCCATCTTTTGAAATTATGTGACCTAGAAATGCCACTTTTTCCAGCCAAAATTCACACTTACTGAACTTAGCGAACAGTTGGTGCTCTCGTAGGATTTGCAACACTATTCGCAAATGTTGATCATGCTCCTCCCTTGATTTCGAATACACTAAGATATCATCAATGAACACCACTACAAACCTATCCAAGTAAGGTTTGAACACTTGATGCATCAGATCCATGAATGCCGCTGGGGCATTGGTTAAGCCAAAAGGCATTACTGCGGACTCAAAATGCCCATATCGAGTGTTAAACGCCGTTTTTGGCAAATCCCCCTTTCTAATTCTCAATTGATAGTGCCCTTGTCGCAAGTCCAACTTAGAAAACACCACAGCCCCTTGTAACTGGTCAAACAACTCATCGACATGGGGCAAAGGATATTTATTCTTAATAATTACTGCATTCAGCCCTCGATAATCAATACATAACCTCAAACTCCCGTCTTTCTTTTTAACAAATAACACTGGAGCTCCCCACGGCGACTCGCTCACATGTATAAACCCCCGTTCTAGCAAGTCTTGCAATTGCACCTTTAACTCCTTAAGCTCAGCAGGTGCCATACGATAAGGGGTTTTCGAAATAGGAGTAGTTCCAGGTATTAGGTCAACTTTAAATTCAATCCCCCTTTCAGGTGGCAGAGACTCCAACTCCTCCGGAAATACGTCCGGGTATTCACAGATTACGGGCATGTCTTCCAATTTAATCTTTTCTCTCGGAGTGTTAACTAGAAAAGTTAGGTAACTGCGTGCCCCCCGACTAAGTAATTTCCTACCCCTTATTCTCAAAATGAGCGCAGACGAGGCTAACATACCTCTCACGTCTAACTTCAAAGTTGCCTTACCGGGAATCCAAAACTCTACCACTTTCATCCTACAATCTACCCGAGCATGATAATGAACTAGCCAATCCATACATAGAATAACATCGTACCCCTTAATGGCTAGACTAATGAGGTCAACAACCAATTTCTGCTCACCAACCCAAATATCACAATTCCTATACACCTCATTCGCAAGCAAAATTTGATTACCCGTAGGTGTTCTTACTTCTGAGTCATAAGGTAACCTTTCAACTTTCAAGTCAGTTCCAAACATAAATACAGGATTAACAAAAGAATGAGTAGCACCGGGGTCTATCAAAATTTTGGCTAACCGGTGAAAAACAGGAATTGTACCTTTTACCACCTCCGTTGGTTCAGGCACGGTTTGTTGATCCAGCAAATATACTCTAGCCGGTACCCTCGACCTAGTCCCTTCAGCATTGGTCAGCTTTGTGTTTGACCTGGCAGTCGACTGGGTATCACTGATCAACGGGCAGTTGACTATCTGGTGATCCACACCTCCGCACCTTAGACACTTCCGAGCCTTTCTCCAGCACTCATCCTCTGTGTAGTTTGGTTTTCCGCAATATCCACACGTTACTCGGGGAGTGGAGGTTTGGCCTCTTTGGGGAATACCTCTACCTTGGCCCCTACCGCTTTGGCCTCCCCTCTGGGCACCACCTCTCGGAGCATTTCCCCTAGATGTGCTTGAAAATCGTCCACCTCCAGCCCCACGACCGGATTTAACGGGTGGCATGTTCCGATCACTCCGCATCGACCCTTGGGCTCCACTAGGTACTCCTTTCCGTTTAGCGTGGAAATTCCTCACATGTGCCCTAGCAGTCTCTATCCTTTGGGTCTTTTCCAAAACCTCCGTAAACGTATTAATTTGGGTTGCCGCTAAGGCTTCTTGTAATTCCACATTTAACCTTTGCACAAATCTCAGTACTTTTCTTTGCTCCGTGGCTATTAGTTCAGGAGCAAATTTGGACAACTTTGTAAACTGAGTCTCATACTCAGCCACACTCAACATTCCCTGTCGGAGTTTAATGAAATCGTTCTCTCTCTTCTCCTGGATGATAGGAGGAAGATATTTCTCGTTAAACTCCCGTACGAAGTTTAACCAGGTCCATGCTGTCGCCTCTCTCTCCCATTTGGCCCTCACTACGTTCCACCAAGCTCTAGCTGGCCCCTCGAACTGGAAAACAGCGAATTACACTTGCCTCTCCTCTGTATAGTTTAAGGCGTCAAAGATGTTGATCATAGCCTCAAACCATTTATCGGCCCCGTCCGGGTCTGGTCCTCCTAAGAACTTGGGTGGAGAGAACTTATGGAATCTCTCTAAGGCCCTGTCTTGCCCATTATCGAGGTCCCTAGGTTGATTTACAGGGGCTTGACCCTGTTGTTCCACTAGATGGGCCAAAATATTAGTCATTTGTTGGATTGCGGTTGCTACTTGATCTCCCCCTACAGCTTGGGGTTCAGGTTGTGGCTCAATCGTTGCCTCTCTCAACTCTCTCGGTTCTTGCACCGACTCCTGTGCTTGTCTACCCCCACGGTCTCGACTAGGACCGCGTCCTCGATTAGTTCCCCTGGTTTGACTTCTTCTACCCTCCATCTTTTAAGAGTTAAGCAACTATAAATATATAAACAAAGTAAGGTATGGCTCGTATAACACATTGCAAAGGCTAAATAAAGGCGAATAAACACGTAATAAATAAGTACTTTATATACATAGCAAACAAGTCACATATACATGCCAACCTATGCAAATCAAAAGCTATACTAGCCAAGGAACATAGAACAAAAGAAGTCCTATTTACAACCACCGTGACACGTCAAAGTCAAAAACAAAAGAAAACGTGTCGTCCTACTATGTTCCAAACTATCCCACAAAAATCTCCTGAGTCCTCAATCCTAACAAGTCGTTCGACTAGACGCCGACCCAACAGACTCCGAGGATGCACTCGGCTCCTCCTCCGGGTCCTCCTCAGGAGCACCAGGAGCGCCAGGGGCTGCAAGCGCTTGACCCTCTCCGGCCAAGTCCTGAAGCACATCATCCACTAGTGCCTCGCACTCAGTCAGGATGTGGCCAGTCCGGTCTCTAATATCTTCAACTACTCGCATGAGGCGTCCAGTCGTCGCCTGAGCTTGCTCGCGGGAGGCATCCGTCCGCTGCTGCTCCTCTAACACCGAGGCCTCCAGCTCTTGGATCCTAGCTCCCTGATCTCGGAGTGTAGCCCGGAGACGCTCAATCTCCGAATGGCACCTACGATTAGCGCTATCCAATCATCGCCGCTCGTCGTCCACGACAAGCACTACTCGGTCAGGGTAAGAGTAGGTCTTCCAGCAGTCGCAGCGTCGGATCTTGCGCACTGGGGACCACCGCTGTACTAGCCCACCGGGGCTCTCCTGGTATGTAATCACACGATAAACAGGCCCCTCCAAATGTGGCTCGTCAGTAGGGGCATCAGTGGGCGCGTCAGTCGGTACGTCAGTATGCACAGGTTGGGACGGCCCAGCACTCCCAGAGGCATCAGTACCCGCCATGAGCTAGGTTTGCAAGTAACATTGCAAAAGTAAGTACACATCACGTAGAAAACAAGGCTAAAGGTTAAACTCAGGAATAAAACCCTAGCCTATCGTATCAAGTACTCAATCTATCCAGATCAATTCACAACCTAAACTCTGATACCACCTGTGACGACCCTACCTCCCCCTAAGGCTTACCAAAGGGTTCGGCGGACCCCCTGCCCAACTCTCGCCAGGACTCACTCACTCGTATCACGTGCATACATCCATGACCCATAAATAACATCCACAGTTCAAACTTATAATTTACATTGATACGAATCAAGGTACAAAGTCTCAATATACCCAACTAGTTCAGAGCGTATACAAATCAAATGCAAAATATTCTATTCGAGGAATAGCGCGAGTACAAGACAAAAGTCAAAAGTCAAACAACTAGACTACGCTAGCCTTTACACGTCTCACGCCTCGCTCATACCCCTGTAAGGAAAACAAAACTAACGGGGTGAGTCAAACCTCAGTGAAGTTCCAAATATCAAATTGATCAACAATCCAAGTGATAGCAGAGTAATA